TCTTCATCAATTTCAATTATGAAGTTTGAGAATATTTCAACCCTAAACCACATATTCTATTATTGCGAAGTCAGGTTGAGATACAACTTTACATGTCTTTGGAAATTGGCGAATTTCATGTTTTCATTTTGCTAATGGCTTTTAGATCTTAGTGTATATTTTCAGAAATTATTATTTTTAATTGTTTCCCGTTCGAAACAATATTGCTCTATTTGTGTTCATTGGTGAAGGAACCTAATTATTTAGCTTGTAAGTTTTAATAAGTGACGACTTTTAAATAATTATTCACATGATATACTCATTTTAGTGAGTAGTTATCCTAACAAGAATTATTTCTTGATTTAATGACTTGTCGTGAGATGCATAACGATGTTCTCCTGTATATAGAAATTGCTTCTTTAAGATAAAAGTTATCTTTTTTATGTTTTTATTTGTGCCAAAACTAGGTATACAATATTGAAAGGAGTAGTTTTTGAAGTCTGTAACTACAACGCTTCCTTCTTTATTTGCTGTTAGGAGGTACAAGATATAGTCTGACATCCTTTTGTATCTTTAAGATGCTTGTAGTTGATTTACGTCTCATAATAATTTTTTAGTGTTCACTGTTGGTAAGGTTTTTATGACTAATCGTTGTATTTTTTCAATGTTGATCAACCTTACTATCTTGTTTTTATTTTGCTCTTATATGACTTTTTGGTGCTGTTCCTTCTTGTTTATATTTTCATTAATGTGGTGCTTATGCTTTCCTGAGCCGAGGGTCTGTTGGAAATAATCTTTCTATCCTCACAAGGTAGGGGTAAGGTTTGCGTACACACTACCCTCCCCGGACCCCACGGTGTGGGATAATATTGGGTATGTTATTGTAATAATTTTTTTAGTGTTCTATCTTTTTATATCTCATAATAACTCTTATAATGCTGTATTTTATTTACTTCGTAAGCAGATTCTTTCTTTTCCGTAATTTCAACAATTGTTTCTTTATTTAATTTTTTTTCGTAATGTATTTTTATTATTTGTATTATTATGCTTTAAGCTTTTGTACAATAATAAAAGTTAAAAGATTCGTCCCCTAAGGTGGAAGGGAGGAGACTGGTACGTAATAATCAGGATGCTCCTTGGTGGAGTTTCATTTTATACTTGGCCATTCAAAGGAGGTTATTAACCAAGGATAGACTAGCAAAGTGGACAAGAGGGGTTGCTTTGATGGTAAGCAACCCTCACTTCCAATCAAGAGGTTGTGAGTTCGAGTCACCCCAAGAGCAAGGTGGGAAGTTCTTGGTGGGAAGGATGCCGAGTTTCTATTTGGAAACCTCGTTGTTGATAGACTAGCTGGGGGTTGCAACTGATATGAGGTATCCTTTGTGTTCTTCTGATGAGTCCACTGATCGTTTGCCATTTAATTGTCCTATTTCTACTTCTATTTGGACAAAGCTAGCGCCCTGGATGGGGGTTTGGCAGGCAAGCAATGGAGTGGCAGAGTGAATTGAAGATGGCTACAAACTATTTTCTAGTGCAGTTATCTATGGGATGACTCTAGTCTATCATGTTTGACAAGAAAGAACTTGAGAATCTTCAGTAACATATTTGAAGTGCCAGAATTGTTCATAAGATCAAGAGATGATCGAATTAATAGCTTGTGTGCGCACTTGTCTGATGTCATAGGGTGTTTTTAAAGCTCCATTTTCAGACAAAAGAATCTTACATCTGCTAGATGTCTACAGTGGACCTCGCTCGGGAGCACAAGCTATTAATTCGAACATCTCTCGATCTTATGAGCAAGTCTGACACTTCAAGTATGTTACTGAAGGTTGTCAAAGCCAATACTATATTATTTTTCCAGAATGCACGAAATCTGAAGGAACTTAGACATAGAAAAGCAATTATTTTCCCTCCCAGTTGCAAAGAAGAATAATGTGTGTCTGTCATATGTCTAGACATAGTAATACAGATTTCTCAACATCTTGGAGAACTAAATTAAGGCATTTGTTTTTCAGACAATGCTCAAGGTATCTGCAAGATCATGAGATGGTTACTTCTTCTGAAAGAATGCGCCTGGCTTCCTTTGCAATGTCACTGACATGTTTATCTTCACATCCTGGTTCAAAGGAAAATGACAATATTGGAGGAGGAATGTAAGCGGGCGGAACAAAACAGTTGTATAAATTAAATAGGCATAAGCAGATCTAAAGCAAGAAATAAAGTAGGAAAGACAGCTTTCAAGGGTTTAAGAAGTTACCCAAGAGGCTAAGGGCTTTTTCAAGTTGAAAGAGGTAATCTCTATTGGGTCCTGAGGGGCCTTTTGCACGAACGATTTGACTGCACGATTCAAGTAGACATTAAGAAGATGCGAAATGATAATACCTATTCCAAAATCCAAACTATTTAGCTGCTTTTAGATGACATTAAAATTACAAAGCATAAGATACACTATCATTGTATTTGACTGGTTATAGCAAGTTCATCGCTTAATAAATGAAAGATTTAAGTTTCCTTTCACAACCTTGAATAATCAAATACTAACTCCTTCCCCAAGCCATGACTAAGATGCAGTTTGAAGAGGGACATTGATGGTTCATTCTCTAGGATTCCATGGCTTCCAAGACCCTCTGTGCTACAGGCTTGAGTTGCCATGGAGAAGATGTTCCATGTACAGAGAGATGCTTTCCCCGGCTGAATGATACTATGAAGAGCTAAATTTGGGTACTTATCCTTTTCACTATGTTGTACTGGGAATGAATTGACAAGAACTTTACTCTAGGTTATGTATAGTGTCACAGGGGTGATTTGTGACACTCAAACTCAGCCCGAGGTTCACCTCCGTGCGGCAGTCAAGCCCAGCCTTGACTTCAGCCT